ATTTATTTTTGTTGGGATATCTGCCCTTGTGTTAATGAGTATAACACTCAGAATTTAGGGGCTTAAAGCATTCGATCTATATCTATATGTATCTATCTATGGAGAGAGAGATAAGGATATATGATCATTTTGTTAAAGTAGGTTGTAAAATAGGCAGCAAATTATAGCTAAGCAACACAGGCTCTTCCTATTGAGGACACTCCCCTTCCTCTAGCCTCTCACTTCCCTAAAGATTGTTCCTGCCATAAAGATAGCCCATAAGTCTGGATTGAATTCAGTGTGGAGACTCTTAATTATTCAGCAAAGGCTCGCTCATTGCTACCCTGACTGTCAGTCTATCTGACACAGGATGACCACTGCCATCCAAAGCTATGGCTGCCAGCCAGCTTGGTGATTTAATTCTGGGTTATCTTGAAAGTGTCCATCTTCTGAAGAGACAGAAATTGTTTCATTTTTATTTTTTGCTGGTCCTGGGATTTGAACTCATTTGCTGTGAGCTGTCACTGAGCCTCTTTGTCCTCTATCACTTGAGCCACAGAGCCACTTTTGGCTTTTTCTAAATAGTTCATTGGAGATAAAATGTCTGATGGCTTTCCTGCCCAGACTGACTTTGAACCATGATCCTCAGCTCTCAGTCTCCTGAGTAGTTAGGATTCTAGGTGTTAGTCATCAGTACCTGGCAGAAATATGTTTGTTTTTTTTAAATTTCTACCTAATTACATAAAACCTTACTGGCTATTTTGCCCCTCCTATTTGGCTTTTGGTTTGATGTTTATTTATGTATTGATTTTTTTTATTATTGTCTGTCTTTTCTATCAAAGTATGTTGCTTAAAAGTTCCTGGTGGTTGGCTCACGTTGATTATTCTGTAAAGACATTATCAGCAAGTAAAGAAAAAAAAAGAGTATCAGATTTGGGATAATGAAGGATCTTTTTCCACTTTAAAATTTTATTGTAAAGGTGATGTACCAAGGGCATACATAAGTTAAGTAATCAGTGTAAGGTCCGCTCCTGGATGGCAAGCAGACTCCACCCTCCTCGCAGCAAAGTCTCCATCCAGTACCTGCATTACCTAGGCAACTGGGACAGCTGGAAGAGGTCATATCTGCATCTGCTGAGGTCACGTCTGAATTTGATGTGGCCACACCTTTCTCCACCCATACCCTAGATAAGGCCTAGCCCAGGCCCAGACGCTCTCTCTGCTCTTTTCTAAGCTCTTTCTCAGCTCTTTCCTTCTCTTCTCTTTCCCAGCTCTCTCTTCTCTTTCCCAGCTCTCATTCCCAGGCCTTTCCCAGCCATGTGGAGGGCCAACATGGCCTGGTGCCAGCCAGAACGATGAATAAACCTACCCCTGACCTGAATACCACGTGTGTGGTGCTGTTCTTACTCGATCACCTCTTTTTAAAAACCTAACAATCAGTATATTTCCTTTGGAACAGTTTCACCCTCTTCCTCATTTTCTTCCAGTTTTTTTTCTCTCCTGACTTCCCTCCCCACCAATTTGTACAGATTATTTCCAACATAGTGTCCAGTGAGTTTCAATGCTGAATTGGTTCACTCTTGTCTCTTTGCTTCCTCCTTCCCCTCCCCAAGTTGATAACAAAGGGTATCAAAATAAAAATCAGCAACAGAATGGAATAAACCAAAGAAAAAAGAAAATAAAAGAATGACACAGTACAATAAAAAACCTTCTTGCTTCCATTTCTTGCAGTTCATTTTGATAAGCTTCATTTTATATGATTGTATGCACATAGCTAGTGAGCCCTTGTGAACCTGTCCTAAGAATATCCTCCTTTGGTCTCAGTGTGTGAATGTTTAGACTGCTCCTTAATTAATCATGTCCAGGTATAATTTTTTGTCTTTTACTATCCATTGGGTTTACTTATAGATTTATAGGCACATTCTATTTATCCCAAATGAGGAAAACTATGCAGCCTATATTTGGGGGGGGGGGTCTGGCTTACTTTGCTTAATTTAATTTTTTTCCAAGTCTTTTTCCTTACGAATGGGACAAGGTCATTCTTTCTGATGCAAGCAGAGAATAAACACATGAAAAGATGTTCAACATCTCTAGCTGTAAAACAAATGCAAATCAAAACAATCTTGAGATTCCTCCACCTCTCACACATTACAAGATCCATTATCAAGAAAAGGAAGATGTGGGCTGGGAAGGTGGCTCAGTGGTACAGCGCTTGCCTTGCATGCATGAGGCCCTGGGTTCGATTCCTCAGCACCACATAAGCAAAAAGAAAAAAGCCAGAAGTGGTGCTGTG